TTAATACTCTGCTTACTTTTTAGAAGGCATCTTTCTGTATCCCAATTCACCTTCGAATTTCGGTTTTACTCTTTTCGTCTTTTGTTAAATCTCATCCGAGATATTTAAATTGTACTTGCTTGATCTTGTTATTCCAAAAATTGGTAAAAAAATGGAATAACAATGACAGAAAAAATGGCAATATGAACACACGTAAAAAAATGGTTACTAAGACATTAGGTTTATATGTGCCCAAAATTTATACACAAACGTCTTCAAGGACACATGGCACAGAGGATTAGACCTAAAGAGTTCAATACAGCAGTAGTGAACCAAAATTTAGAGAGTTGAGTTAGAGAGAAATAACTGAGACATCAGGAAGAGACATGGCACGTGGAACTAGAACAATCTACTCCGGCGGACGAAATAAAGTGTTCTAAAGAAGTCCGGAGCGTACAACGGCCAAAACGTTGTGAATATGGCAATGAAGATGAGGATAACAGTCTGAACAGTGTAAATAATGCAAGTAATCATAATACCTCATCTCAGAGACATAGAGGCCAAAATGTTGTGAGGATGAAGATAAGAGCCGAAATAAAATAATGCAGGTAACCATAATACTTCATCTCAGAGATATAGAGGCCGAAACGTTTTGAATATGGCAATGGAGATGAAGATAACAGTCCGAATAATGTAAATATTGCAAGTAATCATAATACGTCATCTCAGAGATATAGAGGCCGAAATAATTAAAGTGACCATAATACCTTATCTCAGAGATATAGACACATTTCCTTGATATTTAAATTTTACTTGCTTGATCTTTATATTCCAAATAGCTGTTACTTTTGCTGACAACAATATATTCTGTTTTCTTGCAGCTGACATTAGTCCTTTCTTATTGCTTTTCTTCACTGCCTTTTGTAAGAATTACTGTGGTCTCCTTTATGTGTCTGTAATCAACATTTCTGCATAATCGATGTTCTTAAGATTGTGTCCGCCAATAATCAATCCTGCTAGGTTAGGGTATAAGCTGAATAGGTCCGGTGAGAAGATACATCCTTGTCTCCCACCCATTTCTATTTTTTGTATATTACTGAATTCATTTTCTATTCGTATGCATGCGGTTTGCAGCCAGTATATGGTCTTGATTACCCTAATATTCTTCCTACATATGTTACATTGCAGTTATATTACATTAGGACGTACATTATCAAACGCTTTTGCATTGTTAAATAATACTTTAGTAGACTATTATCTGGGGGGGGGATTGTATCTCAGCTGGGATTTCCGGAGGTTGACTCTCGAGGTCAGATGCAAGCCAAAATAAGGAAGTCGATTTTGATTAGCTGGGGTAGCGTGGGAATGGTAGATAGAAAAAGGTTTATCAGAGAATCGAGTCTTAACCGTCAATGTAGACATGTTCACTTTCGTATCTGAAACAGCTTCTCAATGAGGGGTAACGACGCCAACGGGATAGTTAGTGCATGTCGACATTAATAAAATAGTTGAGATAGCATTCTTTTTCTTATATCTTCTCATTGCCGAAACAAATCAACTAGCGATCGCCGGCCAAGAGAAGACGGAATTGGACGACCCACACCCGATATACACCTGGGGAAGGCCGGAGAGCACAACGACCGAAACGTTGTGATAACAACAACAAAGATGAGGACAATAGTCCGAATATAAATAGTGTAAACAATGATAACTCCTAATCCCATAAATTCATTCTATGTTGGTTACTCGGATCGATATACACCTGGGGAAGGCCGGAGAGCATAACGACCGAAACTTTGTGATAACAGCAACAATGCTGAGGAGAATAGTTCCAATATAAATAGTATAAATAATGATAACTCCTCATCCCATAAATTCATTCCGTATGGGTTACCCGGATCGATATACCCCTGAGGAAGGCAGGAGAGCACAACGGCCGAAACGTTGTGATACCAACAACAAAAATGTGGTCACTAGACAGAATATAAATTGCGTAAATCATGATAATTCTTCATTCCAGAAAACTAAACAGAAATTAAGCCAGTCTAATATTTGATGTAACAAAATAAAAATGGATTTTTAATAGATTTCACCCCAAGCAAGGCAGTAAAGCCACTAAGACCCAACGGGTTGCTCAGTGTGAAAGAATAAGAAGAAAGAGAAACATTATTAAGGAAAGAGGACAATAAAAGATCAGGTGAAGTAGATGCCGACTGACATTATGTCTCACATAAAATGGCGCTCTTTATGGTTGATTGTTTAGTCAATTGTCTAACGAAATAACCTCTTTCGTTTATAAAAATATTTTGACTCATGCCTGTCTTTTTGTTTACAAATTATTTTTCTTTCAATATATTGTAACTCATAAACCTAATGAAAATGATTACAATGAAAAAATGTCGAGTAATCATACTGTATGCGTACAAACTGCGTACAAAAAAGAACCATTTTTACATCGAATCACTACATGCGATGAGAAATGGATACTTTTTGACAATAGTAAGAGCGTAGCCCAGTGGTTAGATGATAGTGGATCACCAAAACAATACCTAAATCTTCCACCGCACACTAAAAAGTTTATGGTTACTGTATGGTGGTCTTTCAAAGGAGTTATCGTAATTCTCTATGTATAATACGTCTTCATTCATAATACGCACCCCTAAAATTGTGCTGAAAGTTTGAGAAAATGCTTCTACTCGCGTATAACACGCACCCCTTGCTTGGTAATCAAACCCTATAAATTGTACCTTTCCAATTTCATTCCGAGCAGCATTTCCTACTCTTATTCAAGCTGTTATTGAAGATATTTATCAAAATTTCCGATCATCACGAATCTAAAAGGAAACGGAAGTACCTATATTGTGCCTACTGCGCAGACTCATTAACATGTTTTTGTTTGATAAAATGTGCATTCTACCAGATCTGCGTGTAGTTTAAAAAAATGGTTTTAAACATAGAATAATATTGTTCTAATTTCGTTTTATGTTAATTCTTATTTTATTTAACGGCCATTTAAAAAAATGTAGATGTGCATCATACGGGCCCCTAAATTTTGCTTATTATTTTTAGATAAAAATGCGTATTATGCATGGGGAATAACGGTATTCATTCTTGCCTTAAAGGAAATCAATAACAACAACATCTTATTGTGGAGAAATTGACTTTATGCACAAAAAATTGAAAAATGAAACATCCTAGAGTTGTGAATAGGAATGGTCCAATTTTACTGCACGACAACCAACGACCACACGTTTCTCAAATATTCAAAAGCTGCATCACCTGCATTTTGAAACTTTGCTTCATTCTCCATATTCACCTGATATCTCTCCTAAAGATCATCACTTATTTAAGAATTTTGAGCTTTTCATACGCAATAAAATATTCTCCAATAAGGAAGAAGTCATCGAAGCATTTGAGCTATTTATCACATCAAAGGATGAGAATTTTTTTAAAGATGGGTTCAAGAATTTAGAGGTACGTTGGAGAAGAATCATTCACCAACACGGTGACTACTTCAACTAAATAAATTTGTTATTTAACATTTCAGAAGCTTTTTATTCATTACTTGTAAAGTACGCCTTTTTATGTGTGACAACCTAATATTAAAATATATCAGGACAATTCTCACAAAGCAGTGTTCAATATTTATTAAAAAAAATACAAACAATTTGTGAATTAATACACGGTTGGTGTTTGTTTACGAACGGGATTATTCTATTCGTGTTTGTATTTACTTAATTCCATTATTCTCTTAGGAACATGCACGTGCGTGACATATGAAAAGAACTCATAACAGATAAACTAATCAATAAGCGACCTGGAAAAAAATGGCGGACTTTTTATGCGCATGCGTCGATGTGGGTGCCTTCGGATGTGTGTTCGGGTGTAAGCATGCATACCTGCTTCATCGTGTAACGTTATTAAAAGCAAGAGAAATGAACAATGTGTCGTGATGCATTCTTCCACATTTTTTTCCCTATATTTCTTTTCTTTTCTTTAAATTTATAAAATTTGAGATTTAAAGTCCATAGTATCTATCGTCTTTCACGAGCGATCAAGTAGCAAGCAAACTTCTTAATACACAAGCACCCACCTCAGTATTTTTTCAGTAATGCAAAATGGCCCTTCTAGATTATATATCTCGCGCGATTGCGAAATTCTTGACTCGTTAAGGTTGTTTAGTAGAAGTGTTGCTTCTTGGGTAAGATAACACAACCCTCTCCAGGACGATTTAGAATTCAGTGTTTTTCTTTCTAGACCAGTTGTCATGTTTCGATACTATGATTGTACTTCTTCAGGAGATGGTTGGAAATAAATATAATTATATAAATTCTTTCTTTCTTTCTTTCTTTCTTTCTTTCTTTCTTTCTTTCTTTCTTTCTTCTTCGGCATCTTCTATTTCTTCTTTTTCTTTTTCCTCTTCTAATTTTTCTCCTCCACCTTATTCTTCCTCTACTTCTTCTTTTAATTCTTCTTTTACGTCTTCTGCTTCTTCTGCGTCTTCAAATTATTATTGTTAGTATTAACATTTAGAGAAGGGAATAATTTAAAAAAAGAAAAAAGTTAAAGTGTTTAGCAATGTTTAAAAAGTATTTCCACACTGTGTTCTTGAAGTAATGTTTAAATTTTTTATAAAAAAATATAAAATAATACAAGTCGTTGTACATACGTCTATTATCTTGAGAACTTTATATAATTAGTTACATTTATTATTATTATTATTATTATTATTATTATTATTATTTCCTTTGATTTCTGTTGGGTACACATTTCGTTCCTGCTCTTGCTTGAGGCAAGAAATGGCATCATGACATTTTCCACCGAAAAAAAAACAAAACATATTTTACATAGATAAAGCCCTTCGTAAGGTGTGGGCTTTACTCGTGAAAGAAAAAAGTATTTCTTTAAGGCATGGGCTTCCAACAATCCCATCAGTTAGTCTACTGGAATCTTTTCAAACCATTCCGAGGGCTCCAACTACAACAGGGGTTGTTGATGTTCCCATGTGCCACATTTTTGAGATTTCGATATCTTCTTCCTCCTCCTCCTTCTTCTTCTTCTTCTTCTTCTTCTTCTTCTTCTTCTTCTTGGCTTTCCTCCTCTTCCTTCTTCTTCTTCTTCTTCTTCTTGGCTTTCCTCCTCTTCCTTCTTCTTCTTCTCCCCTTCCCCCCCTTCCTCCTCTTCTTTCCTCTTCTTCTTCTCCCCTTCCTTCTTCTTCTTCTTCTTCCCTTCCTCCTCTTCATTCTTCTTCTTCTTCTTCTCCTTCTTCTTCTTCTTCTTCTTCCTTCCTCCTCTTCATTCTTCTTCTTCTTCTTCTTCTTCTTCTTCTTCTTCTTCTTCTTCTTCTTCTTCTTCTTTCTGTACTATATTCCTTTCCTTCTGGGTCCCAACCAGATCAGAAATGGCATCAAGATCATTATTGTAAAAAAAATAAACAACCTAAAACCCGCCACATTTTACATTAAAAGCCCTTCGTAAGGTATGCGCTCTATTCGCGAGAATAATTATTTGTATATTTGAGTTTCTACCTCACCCGGTGTTATATTAATATTTCCCCTCCTTGTCTGATTGTTGTCTGAGGAATGGCTTTTTGTACGTTGTCACATATTTCTGATTTATGCCTGCATTTGAGAGACTTTTATTTGGCACAATATCCCTGCTGACTTTGGCAAATATATTTGAGTCAAGATAGGGTTTTATTTCGCTTCATACCATACCTTCCGTTATTTCAACTCTCTTGCTTTCCAGGAATTCTGCTGTAATGTATGATTCATCTTCATCAGGAAAAGAATCTAAATCAGTGAAATTGTTTATGTCGCAGCTTCATTCTTCGGTTTCCTTTCCGGCGAGATCATTTTTTTCGGATCTCATTTAAATCATTTTTTTTTACCTCATCCTGTTATTTCATTTCCAATTTTGCTTCATTTTTCTTTGAGTTATGGCTTTTTTGTACATTTTTTTTTATCTATTTTCATCTTTTGCCTTACATTATTCTGTGTTATATTTTTCCCCTTGTGTACAGGTTTCATTCTCTTGTTCCAACCTGCATTGAAATTTTATTCGTTTGGCTGCTCCAGATATTTTCTCAAAATTGTTGCATTTCTTCAGATGATGCCTTCTAGATTTCTATAACTTCTTTTTCAACTTCCCTGGAGAATCCCTTAAGGTTTGTTTGAAATATCATATTTTATTTATAGAATCTACAATAATTCATCTTGTTGTCTGTGACTTGAATTGCAGAATCTGTTTAAGAAATTCTTTGATTAGCGGAATTTCAATGACTTCTTTCCTTTTATATTTCCGCTTAACTTTCCTACTCTCCTGTGTTGAAATATTTACATCCCTTGTAATCGATGATTCACATCTGATTTCATCAATTTTTCGTTTTGATTTTGTCTACAAAGCAGGATTTTTTTGTTTGTTGTTTCATCTTTTCTTTGTATTCACATGAAATTTCTAGTAGCTTCATTATTTAATTCAGTAATGTTCTCTAATGTCTGTAAACAATCTTTGCAATGCAGCATAATATTTATTGGACATCATTATGTGCGTTTTTGAAAGCTGGTCTCATTTTGACATTTGTATTCGAGTTGCTTTGCTGATTATTTTAATGATGTGGATTTTCGCTTCAGTGATTTCAAGGAATTCTGCTCTAATGTCATTTTGATTCATCTTCATCCGTGACACAATTTGGATCAGTGCAAATGTTTATTTCGCAACTTCATTCTTCAGTTTCCATTCCTGAGAGATCATTATTTTGGATTCAATTTGTTTTTCTCATCCTCTGTTAAATTGTTTCTACTCTTGCTTCTTTTTTCTTTTTGGCTTTTTGTACTTTGTCTTACTTTTTTAAAATCTATTTCCACGTTTGGGAGTCTTTTATTTCTCGTGATGTCTCTATGGACATTGACAAGCACATTTGGGTTAAGATAGACTCTTATTTCAATTCCTACCATTCCTCTCCATATTTTGCATGCCTGATCTTTTCTTTTCTTTTCAGAATTTTCGAGTGCAGTGTAAAAAGATGCCATGACTTGTTTATACATTTTGCGATTCCATTTCTTCCATAATTGTTTTGGTATTGACTCACCATTGCCAAAATTAATGTTAATCTGGTCTTGGTGACCCGTGTTTGGAAAATTTTCGACCAAAACTGGTTCCTCATTGAGGAACGCAGCCCTTGTTGACCCAGGCGACGACTGATTCGGTAGGAATTTTATTTGTAAACCACAACATTTTTTTTTGGGGGGGGTCCTTAAGGACACATGGCACAGTGGATAAAGGCGTTGGTTAGATCCAGTGACAGGACGCAAAGAGTGTGAGTTCTATAACTGGTCAAGGCGGTGGAGTACTTGGAGAGAGGAATTAACAAGAGATAACTGATAACTGACATCCATTAGACATGGCACGTGGAACTCGATCAGTCTACTCCAGTGAGTGAAATAAAGGGTTCATTTCGACATTCCAACCAACTGAAACGTTGTAATAAATATGGCGGCAAAGATGAGGACAATAGTCCAAATATTGTAAATATTGCCTTTGATTTCTGTTGCATACTCATTTGTTTCCAAGTTTCAACCTGAGACCTCAAGTCATTTTTGAACTTAAGATCATAAACATTTTACGTTGATAAATAAATTTTTGTGTTTGATAGTCTTTTATTTCGCTTGATGCATATTTGGGTCAAGATAAAGTCTTATTTCACTATCTCCCCGTATTTGGTATGTCTGATCCTTTACGATAAATTCAGGTTTTTCGAATTCTTCACAATTCCATGTCGTCCGCCTTTTTTTTTTTTTTATTAATTTAGCATTGAGCCGCCAGCATCAAAGTTGGAGTTGACCCTCTCTTGTTCACCAGGAATCTCATTGCTGGTGAAAGTTCTTGTTTCAGTGACAAAGTTTTGGTTCGTCAAGCATATTGTTCGAAGTTCGCCCCCCACTACCTACACACGCTCATTTACAAAGAAGCGCAGGGTGTCCCCTCTTTGGGAACATGACCCAGACAGGTAAGTCACAATAATGATTTTGAACGGAATGGTTATATCTATTTTCGCTTAACTTAATTCAAGATAAAACGTGTACGTGTAAGGTACCTCCAGTCATTTAAGAAGCCATTAGAACCATCTATTATTATTATTATTATTATTATTATTATTTCATTTCCTTTAGTTTCGGGTGTATACGCATTTCTTCCAGGGTCCCAACCAGAGACCTGAGGCCAGAAATAGCTTCATGGTTTTTCCCACTGAGCAGTTTAAAAACAAAACAAAACAAAAAATCACATACATTTTTTCCTAGATTCGCAAGGTACGGCCTTAAGTTGTACGTACATTTTTTTGTTTTTGTTTTAAGGCATGGGCTACCAGGAATCCCTTCAATGAGTCTATCGGAACATTTTCCAATCCGAGGGCTCAAACTACAACTGTTTTGTTGATGTTTTTATGTGTCATACTTCTGAGACTTTAATTTCAAGGTTCTTGTATTTTGATTGTTTTTTGAAGGTCTTCAAACATATTTAACATTATTATTATTATTATTATTATTATTATTATTATTATTTTATCTCCTTAGGTTTCTGGTACATACTTATTTCTTTCCGGGTTCTGACTAAAGACCAAAATTTAGAAATGGCATCATGACATGTTCCACTGAGCAGTTTTGAAAAAAAAAAAACGCACATATTTTATATATAAAGCCATTCATAAATATGTGAGCTGTACTCATGACTACAAATCGAACCCGTAGACCTCGACCGTGGTGATGGAAAGCGGCCGGATGGCATTACCATTTTCCCTTTTAAAATGGGGAAGTCGTTGATTTGGGATGCGACCTGTGCGGATACATTTTCGGCCGGTAATTTGATCAGATCCGCGGTTGTGCCGAGGTCCGTCGCCCGGAACGCAGAGAGAAAAAATAATAGTTAAATATTCTTCTCTTGCTGATAGATTTTTTTTTTACTCCTGTGGCAGTGGAGACTTCAGGGGTTATTGGCCCTCACTCGATGGCGTTCCTTCGGAGGATTGGCGCGTTTGCGTCTAGATTAAGGGACGAACCTCGCGAAAAAGTGTGGCTCTTGCAGCGTGTCTCACTGGCGATGGTTCGAGGTAATGCCTTCTCCATCATTGCAGCTGGCAGAGGATAGAAAAATATTGTTTATTTGTTCAAACTTTTTTTTCAGTAAATAAATTTCTCTATATTCATTTTTGTATTTCTTTAAGGCTACCAGGGATTTTTTCAATGAGTCTATTGGAATCTTTTCCACTCAATCCGAGTGCTCCAATTACAACTGGAATCGTTAATGTCCTCAGGTGACACATTTTTTGTGATTTAGATTCCAAGGTATTTGTATTTTGATAACTTTTTGATGATCTTCAAAGATACATTGCAGTCTGCAAGGACTGCCATATCAATAAGGAGGCACATTTTGTCTTTGTGGAATCTAATCTAGATATCAGAGCGATTAGCTTTGATTGAACTGTCTCTGTGTGTGTGTGAAGTCCCATAAAATTGTCACAGGTCCTATACCTGTCACCTGGTCTGGGTGGTGTTCATACCATTTTTTCAGTTTCCTTTCCGTAAGCGTTGCAGATTTATCAGTGCAGATATTGGTCCAATTTGTCGTGTCATGTTTTATATTCAGTGGTTGCCATTGCCGTGCAACCTGATACAAGATGATCAATTGTTTCTGCAGAATCTGCAGTTTGGACTAACACCCTTTTTTTTCAGTATATGTGCTTGGTATTTTCTAGTTAGTAAGCATTGATCTTGTGCAACAAGAATAAAACTTTTCGTTTCAGCATTTAAATCTGCCCTATGTAACGACTGATGTGTACGAGGTTTGTTTATTATTATTATTATTTTTATTTTCTTTGATTTCTGGCGTTTAAACCTTTCTTTCCGGTGACCTAAGGTTAGAAATGGCGTCATGACACTTTCCACTGACAAAAAAAAAAAAAAAAAAAAATTACATAGATAAAGCCCTTCGTAAGGTGTGGGTTGTACTTGTCAGAACAATTTTTTGTATCTCCTTGAGGCATGGACTTCCAGGAATCCCTTCAATTAGTCTACTGCAATCTTTTCCAACCAATCCTAGGGATCCAACTACAACAGGGATTGTTGATGTTTCCATATGCCACATTTTTGAGATTTCTATTTCAAGGTCCTTGTATTTTGACAGCTTTTTGAATATCTTCAAAGATACATTGCAGTCAGCAGGGACTGCCATATCAATAAAGAGGCACTTTTTTTTGTTTGTGGTCTTTAATAACAATATCTGGGCGGTTGGCTTTGATTTTTCTGTCAGTGTGTATTATGTAGTCCCATAGAATTGTAACAGGTCCTATCTCCGTAACCGGGTCTGGGTGGTGTTCATACCAATTATTATTATTATTATTATTATTATTATTATTATTATTATTATTTCTTACCTTGAGTGTTTATGGCTGTAAGATGACCTACAATGGACATCATTCTCCTCCCTAAATGTTATCGGTCTCTTTAATGATACTGTTTTCTGTACGGATCTTCTCTTCTTTCTCAAGGTTTTACGGTTTCAAAATTTCTTTCTATCTTTTTTTCTTCTTCAGCGATTTATTCCTTCTTTTCTTTTTCACTTTTTCTGCTTCTTTCTTTCTTTCTTTTTCTTTTCAGACGACTTATTCCTCCTTTTCGCAGATTCTTTTTTTCTTTCTTTCTTCATTCTTTCCTCTTTTTTCAGAGACTTATTCCTCCTTTTCTTTTTTACAATTTATTTCTTTCAACGACTTATTCCATTTTTCTTTTTTCACATTCTTTCTTTCTTTCTTTCTTTCTTTCTTTCTTTCTTCAAGAATAGATTTCTTCTTGACTTTGTTTATTTTTCTGCTTCTTTCTTTCTTTTTCTTTTCAGCGAATTATCCCTCCCTTTTTTCAAACATTTTCTTTCTTTCTTTCTTTCTTTCTTTCTTTCTTTCTTTCTTTCTTTCTTCTTTCTTTCTTTCTTTCTTTCTTTCTTAGTAACTTGTTCCTCCTTTGACTATTTTCGGCTTCATACTTTTTCTTCTTCAGCGATTTATACCCCCTTTCTCTTTTCAAGTTTATTTTTCTTTCTTTCATTCTGTGTTTCTTTTTTCTTTGAATATTCCTGCTTCTTTCTTTCTTCTTCTTTCTTTTTCTTCAGCGACTTATTTCTCTTTTGCTTCTTGCTTTCTTTCTTTTTCTTCTTCAGCGATTTATTCCTCCTTTTCTTTTCAGGTTCTCTTTTCTTTCTTTCTTTCTTTCTTTCTTTCTTTCTTTCTTTCTTCTTCTTCAGCGACTTATTATTCCTGTTCTTTTTTTCACTTCTTCTTTATTTCATTGTTTCTTTCTTCCTTCTTTCATTTTCCTTGACTGATCAAATCCTTTCCCAAGTGATTCACATGGATCGAAGCTGTGAGCAACGGCGAAGATTTAAAAAAAAATGGAAGACACAAAGGAAACATTTATTGTGTTGAAATTTCTAGGGCACATAATAAGGAAAAGGGGCTTGGAAAATTTGACACTCACAGGACAGATTGAAAGTAAGATAGACAAAGACAACAAAGCGTAACGTGCCTAGGTAGAGAGCTTGAATAAATCGATGGCGGAACAAGGTTTAGGAAAGATAACAAAGAATTTATTAAGAGGTATAAAGGAAAGGAAATGGTGGAGATCCATGATCGCCAACGTGCTGGATGAGCTAGACATATAGAAGATTACACCCTTAAAACTCTTTAAATATGTATTTAAATTCTTGTGGGTGTCCCTCAGGGCTCCATCCGTGGTCTTACGATATTTTAATTTTCTCTCAAAACTTGCTCTTTACACTGATGACACAACCTCCTGCCTGGATGATCCAGGTGAAAATGGCAGCCAATGTCCAAAACAACCTCAGGTCAGCCGTTAACTGGGGCAAAAAATGGCTTGTTAATTTTAACGCCTCCAAACATAAACTTCTTTAAATTAATCCTCTAAGAGACTCCTTTCTACTTTCCATCAGAATGGCTGATGCTAACCCCCAAGAAAGTCATTCTTTGCGCATTCTCGAGCTAACATTTTTTGTTGACATGAAGTGGAAAGACTATATTGAATCCATTGCTAGGTCAGTTGCTAAGAAAGTTGGTTCACTGTGCCGTGCGAGACAAGTTTTCTCTACTGAATCTATCTTAAATATCTATATCTACCATTCGTCCACACTTAGAATGTTACTGCAACATATGGTCTGGTATCCCTGCTATTTACTTTGAGCTCCTTGGTTAGATCCAAAGAAGAATCAGCAATATTATAAGTCCTGATCTCGCGACTCGGCCCCAGTCATTAGCGCAGCGCCGTCAGGTGGCCTCGCTGTGTCTTTTCTATAAATTTAATTATTTTTTTGTTCCAGACTAGTGTCAAGATATCATTTTCTTTTGAACTGGCTAGATGCAACCGTAAATTCTATGAACGCCTTTCCGGCTCCATGCTTTTCAGCCAACTTTATTCTGCAAAAATTTCAATGCCAAATCAACCGCTATCGGCTGTCTTTCTGTTTATCTTAGTAACAACGCGTAAAATCAAGTAATACATACACACACACACACACACACACACACACACACACACACACACACACACACACACACACATATATATATATATATATATTATCAAATATACTTTTACATAATTTGGGAGCGTGTTCTTCAGACCAAAACAAGGATAAAAAGACCATATAAACACATGCCCGAAAATATTTTAGTTTTCAGTTTTTAAGTTTGTCATGGGTACTTACCTATAACTACAGAATGAACTCTTCCTAACACTATGTATACGACGCCTCTCAAGAGAGAGGGTCGAATCGAGTCGAGCCGATAGTTGTTCACTCCAAACCAGACTGACAGTCATACTAACACCTTCCACATCTTGAATTATTATTTCGTGTAATATACCTTCGTTATTTCTACTCTTGTGTTCGTGTTGTTCTTCCTTGGTCCTAACCTAGACCATAACAAGTTATAAGAAAGTTTTCGGTAAATGTTGCTCTCTTGCCATGTAGACTAGTTTATATTTGTCATTCGTGTATATTTTGGGCTAGTCTGTCTTCAACGTTTAACATATCAAGTAGTGAGTTAACTGAGAAGAGTTCCATTTAACAATGGCACGATATTCATATTTTGAGCAGGCGGATATGACATTTACATATGGCAGTGCAAATGGTAATGGACTCGAGGCTGCACGGCTGTATCAGATTACGTTTCCTGCCGAGTCACCTAACCTTTTCTACTGTTTGTGGTCGCGTTGCTGAGACAAGATCTGTGCCACCACAAACTATGATTCGTATACCGGACCACGAAGATCACACGCAGTCGTCTCCAGATATCAGCACAAGTCAAGTGAACCAAGCATGTTGAACAACTCATAGTACCTCATGGAGGGTACTTCAAGAGTAGCTCTTGTATCCGTGTTATTTGCAACGTGATCAGTGTCTTTTGCTTTCTGATCATGTAGCATGAGAAAACTTTTGCCGGTATTTTTTGTTACTCCCTTCCGGGTCGATCTGCAAAAATTTACATGCAATGCCAATCGCTATCTGTCGTCCTGATTACTCTTTTCTCTTTCCACTCATTATTTTTTCTGTTTTTTAATTCTAGCACACTCCGTAACCCCTTGTGTCTTCGTGGATTTACAGTCTTGCATGGGTAGAGACGGATGAAAAAAATTCCATACCCATTCAGTAAAACCGTTTATATCATTTAATATCCAGATGAACACAAGATTAACACAGATTATCTGTCCGATTGACTCGTGCCATCAAATAAACTTCCATTCTTAACGCAAATATTTTAAGCAATTCTGAAACGAATTCAACTGATGCTACTATTTTCAGCAGAGTAATGAAATCACAAAAGAACATTTCAGCTTTCTCTAGTTTTTATTAGTCATAGCAGGAATATCTCAAGTTCTAAAGAAGATCTGTGACGCCAGTTGCCTAGATATAGAATCCACTGGCATCAATGGGGGTCGAATTGGATTGTAAAATTCAATACACCACCCAAAAAAAAAAAACAAATTAGTAACGTTCCGCCATCACCGTGAACTTTCACCTATCATGTTGGATGGGTGTTTTCTCGAGGAACCTGTATGATTTAAACCTCCCGTTTGAACTCAAGCTCAGAACGGGCCTAAGGTGGAACTCATAGGAGAGCTGGTCAAAAATATCGTTGATCGTGCTATATATATAAAAAAAAACTACAACACATATCAATTCAACGTTTAATCTCCTTCGAAGTAGTCAACATCTGAATCCCCACACGATATCCAGCGTTGTTTCAATTGGTGGCCCAGTGGATAAAAAAAAACGTGGGTTAGATCCAGTGACTAGACCCAAAGAGATCAGTCTACCGCAGTCGGGAACCAAAAAAACTTGGAGAGTTGAGTTAAAGGGAAATAACTGAGACATCCGAAAGAGGCATAGAAACTGGAACTAGAAGAAACTACGCCGGTGGATGAAATAAAAGGTTCAGTTCGAAATTCCAATCACTTGAAGAAGGCCGTGGGGTACAACGGCCGAATCTTTGCGAGTATGGCAATGAAGATGAGGATAACAGTTCGAAAAATGTAAATAATGCAAGTAATACCTCATCTCAGATATAAAGAGGCCGTAACGTTGCGAATAAGGGAATGAAAATGAGGATAACAGTCTGAATAATGTAAATAATGCAAGTAAGCATAATGCCTCATCTCAGAGATATAGAGGCCGTAACGTTGCGAATATGGCAATGGAGATGAGTATAATAGTCTGAATAATGTAAATAATGCAAGTAATCATAATGCCTCATCTCAGAGATATAGACGCCGTAACGTTGCCAATATGGCAATGAAGATGAGTATAACAGTCTGGATAATTTAAATAATGCAAGTAATCATAATGCTTCATCTCAGAGATATAGAGGCCGTAACGTTGCGAATAAGGGAATGAAAATGAGGATAACAGTTTGAATAATAACGTTGCGAAATAAGATGCAAACAGTAATAATGTAAATAATGCTTCATCTCTCAGAGATATAGAGGCCGTAACGTTGCGAATATGGCAATGAAGATGAGTATAACAGTCTGAATAATGTAAATAATGCAAGTAAGCATAATACCTCATCTCAGAGATATAGAGGCTGGAATCGTTGCGAATATGGCAATGAAGATGAGCATAGCAGTCTGAATAATGTAAATAATGCAAGTAATTAATAATGCTTCATCTTCATCTCAGATATAGAGGCCGTAACGTTGCGAATAAGGCAATGAAAATGAGGATAAAAATGTAAATAGTCTGAATAATGTAAATAATGCAACGTTGCGAATAAGCAACACTAATAATGTAAATAATGCTTCATCTCAGAGATATAGAGGCCGTAACGTTGCGAATAAGGCAATGAAAATGAGGATAACAGTCTGAATAATGTAAATAATGCAAGTAATCATAATGCTTCATCTCAGAGATATAGAGGCCGTAACGTTGCGAATAAGGCAATGAAAATGAGGATAACAGTCTGAATAATGTAAATAATGCAAGTAATCATAATGCTTCATCTCAGAGATATAGAGGCCGTAACGTTGCGAATAAGGCAATGAAAATGAGGATAATAATAATCTGAAAATGTAAATAATGCATCTAATTATAATGCGTTCATCTCAGAGGATAATATAATGTAAATAATGCAAGTAATTATAATGTAACGTTGCGAATAAGGCAATGAAAAGGCAATGAAAATGAGGATAACAGTCTGAATAATGTAAATAATGCAAGTAATTATAATGCTGAATAATGAGGCCGTATAATAAGGCAATGAAAATGAGGATAACAGTCTGAATAATGTAAATAATGCAAGTAATCATCTCAGAGATATAGAGGCCGTAACGTTGCGAATAAGGCAATGAAAATGAGGATAACAGTCTGAATAATGTAAATAATGCAAGTAATCATAATGTCATGAATAATGCCGTAACGTTGCGAATATGGCAATGCAAATAATGTAAAAATGCCCTCATCTCAGAGGCCGTAACGAGATATAGAGGCCGTAACGTTGCGAATCAAAGGGAATCTCAGAAAATGAGGAATAACAGTCTGAATAATGTAAATAATGCAAGTAATCATAATGCTTCATCTCAGAGATATAGAGGCCTTAACGTTGCGAATAAGGCAATGAAAATGAGGATAACAGTCTGAATAAAATGTAAATAATGCAAGTAATCATAACGTTGCGAATAAGGCTCATCTCAGAGATATAGAGGCCGTCACTCAGTTGAGAATATGGCAATGAAAATGAGGATAACAGTCTGAATAATGTAAATAATGCAAGTAATCATAATGCCTCATCTCAGAGATATAGAGGCCTTAACGTTGCGAATAAGTGAATGAAAATGAGGATAACAGTCTGAAT